TGTTGAAAAAAAAAAAAAAAATATATATATATATATATATATATAATATATATATATATATATATATATATATATATATATATTTTTTTTTTTTTTTTTTTTTTTTTTTTTCAACAAGTCGGCCGTCTCCCACCGAGGCAGGGTGACCCAAAAAAGAAAGAAAATCCCCAAAAAGAAAATACTTTCATCATCATTCAACACTTTCACCACACTCGCACATTATCACTGTTTTTGCAGAGGTGCTCAGAATACAACAGTCTAGAAGCATAAACATATAAAGATACACAACATATCCCTCCAAACTGCCAATATCCCAAACCCCTCCTTTAAAGTGCAGGCATTGTACTTCCCATTTCCAGGACTCAAGTCCGACTATATGAAAATAACCGGTTTCCCTGAATCCCTTCACTAAATATTACCTGCTCACACTCCAACAGATCGTCAGGTCCCAAGTACCATTCGTCTCCATTCACTCCTATCTAACACGCTCACGCACGCTTGCTGGAAGTCCAAGCCCTTACCCACAAAACCTCCTTTACCCCCTCTCTCCAACCCTTTCGAGGACGACCCCTACCCCGCCTTCCTTCCCCTATAGATTTATATGCTTTCCATGTCATTCTACTGTGATCCATTCTCTCTAAATGACCAAACCACCTCAACAACCCTCTTCTGCCCTCTGACTAATACTTTTATTAACTCCACACCTTCTCCTAATTTCCACACTCCGAATTTTCTGCATAATATTTACACCACACATTGCCCTTAAACAGGACATCTCCGCTGCCTCCAACCGTCTCCTCGCTGCTGCATTTACCACCCAAGCTTCACACCCATATAAGAGTGTTGGTACTACTATACTTTCATACATTCCCTTCTTTGCCTCCATAGATAACGTTTTTTGACTCCACATATACCTCAACGCACCACTCACCTTTTTTCCCTCATCAATTCTATGATTAACCTCATCCTTCATAAATCCATCCGCCGACACGTCAACTCCCAAGTATCTGAAAACATTCACTTCTTCCATACTCCTCCTCCCCAATTTGATATCCAATTTTTCTTTATCTAAATCATTTGACACCCTCATCACCTTACTCTTTCTATGTTCACTTTCAACTTTCTACCTTTACACACATTCCCAAACTCATCCACTAACCTTTGCAATTTTTCTTTAGAATCTCCCATAAGCACAGTATCATCAGCAAAAAGTAACTGTGTCAATTCCCATTTTGAATTTGATTCCCCATAATTTAATCCCACCCCTCTCCCAAACACCCTAGCATTTACTTCCTTTACAACCCATCTATAAATATATTAAACAACCATGGTGACATTACACATCCCTGTCTAAGACCTACTTTTACCGGGAAGTAGTCTCCCTCTCTTCTACACACCCTAACCTGAGCCTCACTATCCTCATAAAAACTCTTTACAGCATTTAATAACTTACCACCTATTCCATATACTTGCAACATCTGCCACATTGCTCCTCTATCCACTCTATCATATGCCTTTTCTAAATCCATAAATGCAATAAAAACTTCCCTATCTTTATCTAAATACTGTTCACATATATGCTTCAATGTAAACACCTGATCTACACATCCCCTACCCACTCTAAAACCTCCTTGCTCATCCGCAATCCTACATTCTGTCTTACCTCTAATTCTTTCAATTATAACCCTACCGTACACTTTTCCTGGTATACTCAGTAAGCTTATTCCTCTAATAATTTTTACAGTCTCTTTTGTCCCCTTTCCCTTTATATAAAGGGACTATACATGCTCTCTGCCAATCCCTAGGTACCTTCCCCTCTTTCATACATTTATTAAACAAAAGTACCAACCACTCCAACACTATATCCCCCCCTGCTTTTAACATTTCTGTCATGATCCCATCAGTTCCAGCTGCTTTACCCCCTTTCATTTTACGTAATGCCTCACGTACCTCCCCCACACTTACATTCTGCTCTTCTTCACTCCTAAAAGATGGTATACCTCCCTGACCAGTGCATGAAATTACTGCCTCTGTTTCTTCCTTAACATTTAAAAGTTCCTCAAAATATTCTCGCCATCTACCCAATACCTCCATCTCCCCATCTACTAACTCCCCTACTCTGTTTTTAACTGACAAATCCATATTTTCCCTAGGCTTTCTTAACTTGTTTAACTCACTCCAAAATTTTTTCTTATTTTCATTAAAATTTCTTGACAGTGCCTCTCCCACTCTATCATCTGCTCTCCTTTTGCACTCTCTCACCACTCTCTTTACCTTTCTTTTACTCTCCATATACTCTGCTCTTCTTATAACACTTCTGCTTTGTAAAAAACCTCTCATAAGCTACCTTTTTCTCTTTTATCACACCCTTTACTTCATCATTCCACCAATCACTCCTCTTTCCTCCTGCCCCCCCCTCCTATAACCACAAACTCTGCCCCACATTCTAATACTGCATTTTAAAACTATTCAACCCTCTTCAACCCCCCCACTACTCATCTTTGCACTAGCCCACCTTTCTGCCAATAGTCGCTTATATCTCACCCGAACTTCCTCCCTCCCTTAGTTTATACACTTTCACCTCCCTCTTACTTGTTGTTGCCACCTTCCTCTTTTCCCATCTACCTCTTACTCTAACTGTAGCTACAACTAAATAATGATCCGATATATCAGTTGCCCCTCTATAAACATGTACATCCTGGAGCCTACCCATCAACCTTTTATCCACCAATACATAATCTAATAAACTACTTTCATTACGTGCTACATCATACCTTGTATATTTTATTTATCCTCTTTTTCATAAATATGTATTACTTATTACCAAATTTCTTTCTACACATAGCTCAATTAAAGGCTCCCCATTTACATTTACCCCTGGCACCCCAAATTTACCTACTACTCCCTCCATAACATTTTTACCCACTTTAGCATTAAAATCCCCAACCACCATTACTCTCACACTTGATTCAAAATCCCCACGCATTCACTCAACATTTCCCAAAATCTCTCTCTCTCCTCTACACTTCTCTCTTCTCCAGGTGCATACACGCTTATTATAACCCACTTTTCACATCCAATCTTTATTTTACCCACATAATCCTTGAATTTATACATTTATAGTCCCTCTTTTCCTGCCATAGCTTATCCTTCAACATTATTGCTACTCCTTCTTTAGCTCTAACTCTATTTGAAACCCCTGACCCTAATCCCATTTATTCCTCTCCACTGAAACTCTCCCACCCCCTTCAGCTTTGTTTCACTTAAAGCCAGACATCCAGCTTCTTCTCAGTCATAACATCCACAATCATCTCTTTCTTATCATCTGCACAACATCCACGCACATTCAGACTTCCCACTTTGACAATTTTCTTCTTCTTATTCTTTTTAGTAATCTTTACAGGAAAAGGGGTTACTAGCCCATTGTTCCCGGCATTTTAGTTGACTTTTACAACACGCATGGCTTACGGAGGAAAGATTCTTATTCCACTCCCATGGATATAAAAGGAAAATAATAAGACCAAGACTATTAAGATAAAATCAAAAAACTCAGATGAGTGTGTATAAATAAATGTGTACATGTATGTGTAGTGTGACCTAAGTGTAAGTAGAAGTAGCAAGACATGCCTGTAATCTTGCATATTTATGAGACAGACAAAAGACATCAGCAATCCTACCATCATGTAAAACAATCACAGGCTTCGTTTTTAACACTCACTGGCAGGACGGTAGTACCTCCCTGGGTGGTTGCTGTCTACCAACCTACTTACTATATATATATATATATATATATATATATATATATATATATATATATATATATATATATATATATATATATATATATATATATATATAATATATATATATATATATATATATATATATATATATATATATATATATATATATATATACTACTATATATATATATATAATATATATATATATATATATATATATGAGAGAGAGAAGAGAAGAGAAAAAAGAAAAAAAGAAAGAAAGCAGTAGCAGAAGGAGCATTTAGCATCACGAGTTGTCTTGATAGCTGAATACTAGCAGTGGCGCAAATATAATGTGTAATTACGCTAATATTAGTAATAAAGGTTATCTATCACATTTATTCAAACTTGATATCAGAAACACGACAGATAACCTATAAGTACAATAAAGATGCAGAAATTTATAAAAGGCATATTATATGGAGAGGCGGAGGCAGTGTTTACATAAGGGAAAACACGCACTAACCAATTTTCTTTTTGGTTGACTGTTATCACTAATCTTCTTAGGCCCCCATGGTGACTTATACACACAAAAAAAATGTGAAGAAACAGAAGAGAGTTTACAGTTAAGTTCAGGGGAGTTTTGGACTGAGCGACAGCTGTGTGGAGACTGATACACGTTCTGGCAGGTCGTGTTTGTTTGGTTGAGTGCTGAGCCAATGGTCAACTACTGAGTGATTTTTGTTTACTGAACAAAGAGTATGAGTACTGAATTGTTTGAGTACTGAGGTTCCACTGTATATAAAAATGTAAGGTGAAGTTTGACTATTTTTTTTTCTTTTTGGCAGGGGACAGAGTGGAAACAAAAGTACTATGGAAAAGAAATACCAAGCTGTTTAAAAATAGGATATTAGTGAAATACTAAAACATGGTGCTGTATGACCCATGTGGGTTTAGCACCTCCCAATGAATGTAATAACAATAACATTTATTAGGAAACTTTTTGACTCCCAGGAGTGAAAATTTTCCTAGTGTTGCAAAAGTGTCTTATTTACATGTTGGTGTACATATGCTAAGCTCCTGAAACAAGTGCTATTTTCACATTGTGCATTGACATTTTGATGCACAGACATAACAGAAAGAGTCATTGTAAGGTAATTCCACATATAACCTACATAGGCCTGTTCTTATTTCATTTTTTATGATGGCCACTGGGCTGGACAAAATTACTAAGGAACCTTCTGACTATTGTTATCCAGTGCATGCACACAAACAGCATTTAAAGTGAGTACTGTATATTCTGACCTTGGTAAAATTACAGTGGCAAGACACCTAGGGATAGTCAGGTGCAGTTACATAAGAGGCAATAAGAAATTTGAAAGCAACAATGACAACTGCTGCTAAATGGCTAATTCTTAACCACAAACATGTGCAAAAGCATAGGTAATTGTACTGCCATATGACTTAAAAATATAAATGATTTATGTACCTGGTATACATGAAAGTCCTGGAAAGGGCTGCAACCAAACAGCAAAAATTTAATCCTTAGAATAAATGAACACAAAGTTAGATATGCACAAAACAGTTTAGTAGTTTTCTGGCATCATGATAAGCAATTTTATGTATAAATGCAAAATCTTCAAATCAGTTATGATTGCATCTCAAAAGACCAGGGAAAACATGATATTAATTATATTTGTCCTGTACCTTCCTTGCCTTGTCACTGTATATTAATTACCTCTACCAATTTTTCCACACTAACCAGAATCCAAGAGTTGGTGCCACTGATAACATCATTATCACAAAAACCTGTGTCAAAGATTTTTCTGTAATGAACTGCCCAATACATATTAGTGTGTTGAACAAAGTACCCATTTTAACTGCTGCAATATTGGGTCCATGTATATACTCTGTATATACTTTTAACTTCCCATATAAGTATACTGAAAAACAAAATTTAAAAATAACATGCCTTTTCTTACTATTGTGTGATATTCCATAAAATAATTTGGTAAAAATTTAAAAATAAATGAAAATTTAAATTAATTTGTACCTTCATATCTTAGCCAAATGTTGTTAATCATAATGACTGATCAACTTTCAATTTTTGCAATATCTTTATCCAGGGTGTCTTGTTCCCTCAGTGCCTTGAGGGATAGTCACAGTACTGTATAGTGTATGTAGAATTTTCCCTGAATGATTTATCTATTTATGTCTGCACCTTTTCAAGTGACAGACTTAAATTACACTTAAAACATTTAGTGAAAGAGTTTACACATTAGTTTATCTATAACAAAAGAGAAAAATTTAGATTTATTAGCACTGTGAGGCAAATACATGTGTTTACTTACAGTGATTTTTTTTAAAAGTCTACCTGAGAACCAGCATACAATTGGTATTTATTTACTACCAATTTAGCTGAATAACAAATTATTAAGATTTTAAAAGATAGTCTTAGAGAAACCAATCAACACTTGAGTTTGATTTTTACAAAACCAAATTCTTAAAAGTATGTATTAACTGACAAATCTGAAGATAACCAGAAAATTCAGTAAAAAATGTGCAGGTCTGAGATCAATACATACAAAAATGGTCCTTTCAACCATATGCCCTGTAATCTGAAGGACTTCATTTTTTTTCCTGCCCTGGCATTCATTATTTTCCTATTCCTCCTGTGCCCCAAAGTGGCATAACTTCCACTGAAGAGAATTGTTTATATATTTCACCCAACTAAATATTACATGAAAGTTACCTATACAAAGAATTTAAATGTTTGAGTAAGCTGTGATATCAAGCAACAAAATATGTACGAGATCTTGCTTTCTACATGCACAATTATACTTAATTTGGGAGATGTTATCACAGCCTTTGTAACTCAGTAAAACTGCTACCAGTAGCCTTAGCATCAAGTACTTTAAAAGTTTTGGATGCAAGTTTTATATACAAATATATCAGCAATGAGCATATGGGGCAACTATTAGCTTGACAAGTGTTACTGGTAAACTGCCAAATTATATTTATAAATCACAAGTTATCAAGAACCCATGGCAATGCCAAACATGTCTCAAGTCTACAACTGCAGCTTCTTGACACTTTTTTAAGTTACAATAATACATCCACCAAATAAACAAGTTTTGGTTTGCTTAAATTCATTTAGATTCAAATGTCAAAGAATATTCGAGCACCATGCAGGATTTCCCTCATTACAAAACTGACCTTGGTGTAACACCACCATGAGTATCTTGCTGCACTGCACCAAGTTGTATGAATTAGAAGTAATGCATTATCAGTTTGACAGTCTTGGTGTAAGAGGATATTCTGAGGTGAATCCTGGATTATAAGAATATGCAATGAAGTGAACATGGTAACTTTCACTGTTTAGGGTCATCCTTGCCTCTAGGCTTATTACTAGCACTTGGATCCATGGAGTGGCTGGGAGATGATCGGGGAACCAGGAGAATGCTGCCATCCGCTGACTGTTGCAATGAGTATTCATGTGGAGAGTATGGGTTACCATCTGGATCTCGAAGAGACTAGAAAAAAATGCACAAGTATTACATAGAAATTAGATATACATTTTTACCTGTCTGTTGTTATATGAGCAGTGTCCCTTCTTTGGTATTCATATCACACATACAGTAGACCACTGATTAACATGCAATCTATGAACATACTAGAATGATCATTTAGTATTGAATAAATTTAGTGCAAAATAGCTTAAAAGGTAGCACACAATAACCAATAATTACACTGTAAATACAACAACCTAGGCATATTTATACAAACACTGAATATATGTTTTACATACTTGGAAGATGTGGCGATACAACAATGAGAATTTGTGCTTTATACGAGTTCGTTCACTGTTTAAGTATTCAAACTCATTGTATAATTCATTCTTGCGGTTCTGGATTGCCTTTACCTCATCCGCTAAATGCAGAATCTGATCTAGTTTGCGTTTACGACAATTCTGTGCAGCAACCTGGAGAAGAAATGGAACATGCTTTAAATCAGCATACATACACTCTTGTCACCGTACTACACCACCACACAATTTAATTTTTTAATGCTTATTTACTACATTAAATTCACACCAATATGTCCTGACACTTACAAATTAACTGTCTAGACCCCTGAAATTAATATTGTTCTGTCTTTACATTAACCCTTACAGGGTTGCGACACTTGCTCTCAAGGTAGGAAAAAAAAAAATTTCTTATGAAATGGTAGAGAATGTTTCTGAAAATAATAAAATAAAAAGTAAAAAATTTGATGGAAAACTGACGAAATTACTCTTTCACAAATTTTGCTGTGCCAGCGATATTTATGCATCAGCGACTTCATCCACTTTGAGTCCGATTTTAGGCCAATTCTACTGTTCCAGTTGACCAAATTCTTAGCTATTTTGCTAGTATGTCTTCCATTCTATCGACCTAGTACAAGAAACTGCTCATTTAACTACATAATTAAGTGATCAGAAATTGGTAATTTGGCCAATTTCACACAAAATAGGATCCAGAATAAACAATGCAGACATTCCTGGCACTAAAATAACATTTTCTCTGTTCATAAGTCATGTCTCCAGGCCCCACTTATATTATGCTTGTTTTCCATTTTGAATTTTTATTTAAAAAAAAAATAGAAGATTTACTGTTATGCAGACTACTGCATTATTTTAATAATTGTATAAATAATGTCAGTGCATTCCTAAATGCATAATAGATGAGCCAGTTATTGGACAAGTGTACTCTGGATTATCAGCAAAATCAAACATTTCTGCTATTTTGAGCTCAATTTGAAGCTACTACTTTCAACCCTTAAACCAATGAAAATCATGTATTTCTGTAATTGTTTTACATGATGGTAGGATTGCTGGTGTCCTTTTTTCTGTCTCATGAACATGCAAGATTTCAGGTACATCTTGCTAATTCTGCTTACACCTAGGTCACACTACACATACATGTGCAAGCATATATACACACACCCCTCTGGGTTTTCTATTTTCTTTATAGTTTTTATTCTTGTTTATTTTCTCTTATCTCCATGGGGAAGTGGAACAGAATTCTTCCTCCGTAAGCCATGTGTGTTGTAAGAGGCGACTAAAATGCCGGGAGCAAGGGGTTGGTAACCTCTTCTGCTGTATATATTACTAAATGTAAAAGGAGAAACTTTCGTTTTTCCTTTTGGGCCACCCCGCCTCAGTGGGATACGGCCGGTGTGTTGAAAGAAAGAATATTCTATTCTATCAAACTAGACCAAGAAACCATACAAAAATACACCATAAAGTCGTTGCTTTAAACCAAAAACATGGCAGCAGTTTTTTATTATGCACTGCATGCTGCAGTTTTTTTTTTTTATATGGTGCACACTTACAGCAGAGACCCATTCTCTCATATCTAGGCCCAAATTTACTGCTCACAACTTATCTGAGTGAGCTGAGCTGATGGTGTAGTATAATGGGACTGACACTGAAAGGGTTAATAAAAACAAATTCTTCTGAAATGGAAGAGAATTTTTTTTCCGAGGGTAATGACACCAAGAGTACAAAATTTGACGGAAAATATATGGAATTATACAGATGCAATGTTGAGTGTGTTGGTAACTGAAAATAATGAGTGAATAAGTGTTTCAATGAGAAAGTTTTAGTGAGGCAAATATCAGAGGCATAGCTCTGACAACCCAACTTTACCAACAATATGCACTTAATAGATTAACCATTACCTTGCTGAATGAGGCAAAGTAAAATGGAGAAAGATAAATGGGCAGGTCTCATGCCAGCTACTGTCCATTAAGCTAACAGAGGTGGTCTTTTTTACTCTGGCTCTGTTTTGCACCAAGGAATGTGGTGTTACTTTCTGTTCCACTAAACATCTGTCAACATTTAGTGAGTACCCAATTTGATATTTTTATAATTATTAACACATCGGCTGTTTCCCACCAAGACAGCATGACCTGAAGAAGAAAAACTCTCATCATTCACTCCATCACTGTCTTGCCAGAGGCAAGCTGACACAACAGTTATAAAACTGCAACATTAACACCCGTCCTTCAGAGTGCCAGCACTGTACTTCCCATCTCCAGGAATCAAGCCCAGCCTGCCAGTTTCCCTGAATCTCTTCATAAATGTTACTTTGCTTACACTCCAACAGCATGTCAAGTCCTAAAAACCATTTGTCTCCATTTGCTCCTAACATGCTCAAGTACGTTTGCTAGAAGTCCAAGCCCCTCGCACACAAAACCTCCTTTACCCCCTCCCTCCAACCTTTCCTGGCCGACCCCTACCCTGCCTTCCCTCCACTACAGTTTTATACACTCTTGAAGTCATTCTATTTCACTCCGTCCTCTCTACATGTCCAAACCATCTCAATAACCCCTCCTCATCCCTCTGGATAATAGTTTTAGTAATCCCCCCACCTCCTCCTAATCTCCAAACTATGGATTCTCTGCATTATAGTCACACCACACATTGCCTTCAGATATGACATCTCCACTGCCTCCAGCCTTCTCCTTGTTGCAACATTCACCACCCATACAAGAGCATTGGTATAACTATACTCTCATACACTCCCCTCTTTGCTTTCATGGATAAAGCTCTTTGTCTCCACAGATTCTGCAGTGCACCATTCACCTTTTTCCCCTCGTCAATTCTACAATTCACCTCATCTTTCACTGACCCATCTGCTGACATGTCCACTCCCAAATATCTGAATACATTCACCTCCTCCATACTCTCTCCCTCCAATCTGATATCCCATCTTATGTTACCTAATTTTTTTTTATTATCCTCATCTTACTATTTCCTATACGTACTTACTTTTAATTTCCTTCTTTTACATACCCTACCAAACTCGTCAGCCAACCTCTGCAATTTCTCTTCAGAATCTCCCAAAAGCACAGTGTTATCAGCAAAGAGCAATTATAACAGCATCCACTTTGTGTTGGATTCTTTATCATTAACCCTTTGACTGTCGAGGTCTATATATACGTCTTACGAGGTACCGTGTTTGACGTATATATACTCATAAATTCTAGCGGCTTCAAATCAAGCAGGAGAAAGCTGGTAGGCTCACATGTGAGAGAATGGGTCTGTGTGGTCAGTGTACACCACATAAAAAAATCCTGGAGTATGCAGTGCATAATGAGAAAAAAAAAAAACGACAGTTTTTTTTTAATTAAAATGCCGACTTTGTGGTCTATTTTCGTATAGCATTTATGGTTGTATTCTCATTTTCTTGGTCTCATTTGATAGAATGAAAAACATATTATAGAAATTGAGGTGATTTTCATTGATTTTACTCTAAAAAGAACCTGAAAATGGAGCTCAAAGTAGGGGAAATGTTTGATTTTTGCCGATGTTCAAAAGTAAACAAATGATGTCATTATCCAATAATGTCCAACTAGCCATTCTAATATGCAGTCATGAATGGGTTGATGTTATTTATACAATTATTACAGTATTGCAGTAGTCTGCATAACAGTAAATCTTCTATTTTTTGTTTGAATAAAAATTCAAAATAGAAAGCAAGAGTAATATCAGAGGGGCTTGGAGATGTGACTGATGAACAAAGAAAAATATTATTTTAGAGCCAGGAATGTCTGCATTGTTCATTCTGGACCGTATTTTGAAATTGTCATATTTTTTAATTTTCATGAAATTGGCCAAATTGCAAATTCTGACCATGTTATTGGGTAGTTGAAATCGGTAAATGGGCAGTTTCTTGTACTCAATCGATAAAAAAAAATGGAGTTCTAAAGAAATAGCTATGAGTTTGGTCGACTGGAACAATGAAAGTAACCGAAAATAGGGGTCAAAGTGGGCGAAATCGCCGATATGTAAATATTGCCAAGGTCGCTAACTTCGCGAGAGCGTAATTCCATCAGTTTTCCATCAAATTTTGTGTTTTTGGTGTCATTACAATTGGGAAAAGATTCTCTATCATTTCATAAGAAAAAACATTTTTTTTTTTTAAATTTTGCGACACCAGGAGACACTTCAGGATTGGGGGTTGTGACAGTCAAGGGGTTAAACCCCACGTTGATATGTATCACTATATTTAATTCAGCTTCGATTTATGACTTGCAAAAAAAAAAAAAAAAAAAAAAAAAAAAGTCATAAATTTAACTATTTTCCTCATGTTCTTCAAGTTGGTTAGTATAAATTAGATTATACAGGAACAACCCATGTGCTACTTTATCTACTGTATACTATACAGTACCTGGAAAAATACAAAATATTTTTTTTTAATTTATAAATTCATCCATGTACATGTTAAATCCCTACTTAAGCTAGTAACTCACTCACAAATAAGCAAGCTACACACTCAAGCCATGATGTCTACACTGCCTTTAGCTGCCTCCTCACTGCAATATTCAAGGATTATGTCCCACACCCATACAAAAATTTTGGCACCACTATACTCTTAGATACTTTTACCAGTTATACATTCAGTAATAAACTCTCTTTCCACAGATTCCTAAATACCTCAGCTACTTTCTTCCCCAATTATATGATTAACTTACTATTTCATAAACCCTTCCACTTAACATATCTTAATATACAGTGGACCCCCGGTTAACGATATTTTTTCACTCCGTAAGTATGTTCAGGTGCCAGTACTGACCGAATTTATTCCCATAAGGAATATTGTGAAGTATATTAGTCCATTTCAGACCCCCAAACATACACGTACAAACGCACTTACATAAATACACTTACATAATTGGTCGCATTCGGAGGTAATCGTTATGCGGGGGTCCACTGTACTTCATTTCTTCCTTGTTTCCTCCTACATTTATTGTCCAATCTTTCACTGCCTAGACTTTAAATCATCACCTGGCACTTTACTATGTTTACTTATAATTTCCTTCTTTACCAAGACCATCCAAACTCCACTGAATTACCGTATATATTATGCACTAAAAGCCATCATAAATCCTTCAACCTATCCTACAGCAGCAAATATAAGGAAATATCTGCATATG